TAAATAAATAAAATCTTAAAAAATAAATAAATAAAATAAAAATAAAGTTTAAAATGACAATACACACTCCTTAGACTTATCGCTGTTTAAATCATGTAATATAAACTGATCTGATCTATAATTTAACTGAACATTTCTCACTCCCCTGAAAATCAGGTTTTGGCTTATATTCATCATATAGATTTTTATCTCAGTGTACCCCAAATAATAGTTGTAGCCAAGGGCATCAAGGCATCCTCTTTATATCCTGCCTTTTCCTGAGTAATTGAGCTCCAGTACCGTGTGGGTTTTGTCCCATACCTCTATGTCCATTTCTGTTCTCCAAGCCTGGGACTGTGCTTTTAATGAAAGCTGGGGAATGCTTGGACCTCCTCTGGCCTATTGCTGCTGCAAACTGGGCAGTGCACTCTCAGTGTGAGTCAGTCTCACTTTGCAGTAAGTTTTTCTCTTGACCTTTTCTGCGTTTCACAGCCATTCAAATCGATCTTCTCCATCAGTTGCAGACTAGTGAGGTGTTACTCTAAAATCTGAGATGTTGCTGCATCATCAGGTCGTTAAGTAAGTGCCGTGGTCTCCCTCCAAAGGAGATCTTTTCTGCTTGGACGTCTCTCAGGAACTCTGCAGAAGACAAAATGAAGAGGAATTTGGACTTGAACTGATCAGCAAACAGCTTGGCAACTGTTGTAGGATGCCATCTGCAGATGTTAATTATCCAGTTTGGGTCCTCTAATAGCTCTTGACCTCTTGGCTCTGTCAAATGCTTTTTTTCCCATCCTGATTCTTTATTATTCCTCTTGGGGTGAGACAAATCAGAGGTAGCATTGCTGATTCTTTTTTAAACGGTTAAATGTAGACAGATTACTAATGTGGAAACATTAGTCTTTCATTCCGCCTGTGAACATTTGGAGAACATGATCTTCTGCTCTATTTTGGCTTCAAGAACTCCTCTCCAGTTCTTCCTCCTTCCTCGACTGTGTAAATGAAATCAAGTTTTTGAAGAGTTGGTGATGAGAGTAAAAAGCAGGGGGAAGAACGGGCCTCTGCGACGTGAACCCTGAAATCACGTTCTGTTGTGCAGAACTCGAGAGACTGCTTTTTCTGCCTCATCATCTCCTTTGTTTGTTATCCAAAGTAGTTGCTCTAAGCCTTTTATTTCTCTCATCAAGCTTCTTTCTCATTCCCTTATACTGCAAACATGGTCTTGCTCTCTACCAGAAACAGAACAATAGAACTGAACTCACTGAAGTTCCCTTTCTCCAGCTGTAAACCAATATGCATATCCATCCTCATTTCCTTCCGGCTCCTCTTTCTAAGACCAGTCCCCGCCTTCTCTTCCTGCAGGACTAGGTTCCATCAGTTAACCTTCGTCCTCTCCTGTATGCTGAAGGTTTCTGCTCCTGGCTCCTTCCACTCTCCCATGCTCAGGCCTCTCTCATCCTGAGAATTAATTCCTTCTGGCAATGCTGTTCCTCTCTGGAGCACAGAATGTTCCAGAAGACTCATCTGTAGTCGCCAGCTCTATGTGCTCAACTCTTTGCAAGTCCATTTCTCCCCTCCCCCCACCCCCCCATCTCATCCCTTCTCTGAAACTGTTCTTGCATAGGGCTCCATTGACTTCCCACTGTCAGCTCCAGTGGTCACATTTTTATTTTTGTCTACCTTTCTGAAGCAATAGTCATTCTTACTCCCTCCCTCACAGGAAAGTTCTAATGAATTTTAACTTTGATGCTCAGGGTTCAGGTATATTCTTTTGATACTATGAGATTTCTTCTTGTTTTGGTATATAATTTCAGATTAAAAGAGACTTTATATGTCACTCTAAGCAGCCAAATCTCTAGTTTGTGTAGAGGTAGTTACTGTTTTTATGGCCTGAACTGTCATGTTTGTCTGGTGACTCAGAACCACTTATGTTTCCACTCCCCTCCCCTTTTTTAAAACAAAAGTAAAACAATTTATTAAAACGAGTTTTTTTTTAAATCTTGTATTTGTGCAAAAATCCTTTTACCCAGCTTGCTCACTTTTTCTTTCCCCAACTTACTTCTTGATGACATTGGATTTTAAACATCATCATTACAAAGATTTGCCTCTATGGATGTTGAAATAACTATACCAAGGTGTGAGGCAACTCCTAAGGGCCTAAATGGGTCCTGACACATAGGAAGTGCTTAATGTACATTTGTTGACTAAGTGAATTCCATAAGCAGCCCTGAGAGAGCATATGCAGTTCCAACCAGAGAGCTGGAAACATGACCCGTCTTATATTCCATTTGGTTGGCTTGAAAGGCTTAATTATGAGCAAAATGTTTAGGTCTGGATGCCACTGTAGTCTGTTCAAAACTTTGTAAAGCAGTTGTTCTTTTCACATATTTCCTAAAGGGAGAAAAACAGTACAAACAATTTAAAAGTCATGTTGAATTCACTTGTGTATCTACAACCAGGGAAAAACCCCACCAGTTTCATTTTTCTGAATTAAAAATTCACACGTTTAAATACTTCATACTGTCTGGCTCACACTCTCTGCAGTACTTCTGGAGATGGGCGCCTTTGCTCCTGGCTTACATGGAGCACTGATGGAGCGAACAAGCAGGCAGCCTGTGTGCATCAGGTTCCAGAATCTTGTTCAGGCGAGTGCTGTGGTTTAGTAGGATTGTAGAAGCATTTACTGAAGATCTGGCCATGAATCTCAGAGACCACTGGAAACCTGCTCTTGACCCCCCTCTTCAATCTTACCTCTCATTGCGGTTAAGGTCATCTGCATTTAAATTATCTGTGCTAATGGAACCAACGGGCTCATTCTGTCTCTATTGGTATCTGTATCTCATACTATATTTCTCAACTCTTCTTTATAGAGAGACCTTTCGGGGCACAAGAACATTGTCGGTTACATTGACTCCAGTATCAACAATGTGAGCAGTGGTGATGTATGGGAAGTGCTCATTCTGATGGACTTCTGTAGGGGTAAGTATATGACCCACACCTTGAGCTCCCGTTGCTCTGGCACTTTGTCAAGGGCATGGGGCTCATTTCAATTAATGTGCATTGTGCCCTAATGTATGTTGTTCTATTTTTAAAGATGTGCAAAGAAAGATACAGAGCCTGCTCTCACCTCTTGGTTATTCTTACTACGGCAAACAATTTGAAGTGGTAGATAATACAAAACTCCCCTTTTGTTAGCTTTAGGAAGGTTTGGTGCTTGTATATGAATGAGAATGGATGAGGGTGAGAATGAATGTGTTATTTGTGATGCTTTAAAACAAGCGATGAAGGCACATAATAAAGACCCAACTCCAGATGGACCGAAGAAACGATTCAGCCTCCCCACTCCCTCCCTCATGTGTTCTCTTCTCCACCCACACCTCCATCCTTGTGTTATAGGGGAAAATAATCCTTTTCGTCTAATGGAAATGACCTTTCCTCTCCTTGCTTTCGAGCTGTAATTTCCAGTAAGGCTATATTCAAACGATGCTGCTGTGAACAGTGGAGTTAAATAGTTGAAAGCTTGGAGTTTCAAGCAACATTTATCTTGGGAAATACAGACTGTAGCATGACTTGATTCAGAGCTGACTGCATTTCGCACAACCAGTTTGGAGGTTTGACTTTTTTGGCCTAAGCAACTGCCACTTACAAGCTTGGGTCACTGCCTCACTGTTTGGTGCCCTGTTTTATAATCACCCTTACTTCCACTGACATTTTCCTTGCCTTTAAAGATACTGTCCATAAATTAAATATGTTGTTAATCCCCAAAATATGATGTTAACCAGTAATTTCAGCCTACTCTGTAACAACTCTTAAGCTGATTTTATAAGACACTACCAAATTTGAACTTGACAGTTTGTTTCCTCCTGTCCATTCCTTTTTGCACGGTAAAATGTTTCGAGACAAGGCAGTGGGAGCATCTGGGGATCTGGATAATTTTGTGTAAGTGAGGTCCTCAGTCTTTTGGTCCTGGAGATGAAATATTGGTGTAGCATTTCTATATCCTCGGCAGCAAGTAGTGAGTGAAGCCAGAGAAACCGAGCCATTCCTAAAGTACAGACTATAAAGCTGTCTTCTTCCTGCTCCTGGGGTCTATTGTGCAGTCTGATTCTTACTAAAAGATGTGGCAGGTTGAACCTGTGGCCTTGTCTCATACAAACGGGGACAGTGTAACCAAGCGGCTATAGCAAGACCAGATTGTCAGTTCTACTGATCTTGAAGATGTCACAAAGGCAGCCCACGTCTGGAGTACTTCATAAAGTAAACTGGTTTTGATGCATTAGAGAAGGACCTGGATTGTAAGAAGATGAATCTGGGTCTGGGAACCAAGACACTTGGGTTGCAGTCGTGGCTCAGCCAGTGACCTCTGTCCAGGTTGCTCCTCTGTGGACAGCCATTCATTGTCTTGGGTAAGTAGTGAGTCTGAATGTTGCTAACCTCTCGCTTGTTCTGTGCCCCCTTGCAGGAGGCCAGGTGGTCAACCTGATGAACCAGCGCCTGCAAACAGGTTTTACGGAGAATGAAGTGCTTCAGATATTTTGTGATACCTGCGAAGCTGTTGCCCGCCTGCATCAGTGCAAAACTCCTATTATCCACCGTGACCTGAAGGTAAAGGCCGCACTGTTTCATTAAGTACATTCCTACAGAGGATTTCCTATCTGCCCCGGGAACGGGGGAGACACTTTGGGGATGTAAGAGAACAGGCGTGGTGACCTGACATTTCTTACATTCTGCTTGGCGAGAGAAGACACAAAGAAAAAAAAGAAAGTACGGTACAGGTATTGCTTTTATTACTTAAGTAGCCTTTAGAAATTCTTTATAATCATCAAATGCCTGAATACATGTTGTTTTTGCTTTTCCTGATGTAGTCCCAAATTTACTTTGTCAGGGGTATGGAAAATGATACACTAATTTAAATGGTTGCAAACAGCGATGCTTGGTTTTTAACGTCTGCTTCATATTTTGCAAAATCCAGTAAGTGATTATTTTAAAAATTTGTTCTGTTAATCACTGTCTTCTTGTCCTGGGCCTTTCCTATTATACAGTCACTTGACAGTGTTTGTCGAATGGACTTGGCACCTGGTTAGGATTCACCAACATGTATGGCACACCAACTATATGCCACGTACCCTACTAGACACTTGACACACACTGTCTCTTGGAGGAAGATGTTCTTCTTTACATTTATAGTTAGGGAAACTCAGGAGTAGAAAGGTTACATGACTTGACTAAGGTCATAAAACCAGGAAGGAGCAGGACCCGAATGTGCTCTTCTGATTCTAAATTACAGTTTCTTTAAGTAACTGTGTTTTGAGAAACATGCTTCGAGGCTAGTAACTTGGATCCGCATCCCCTGGTGTGCTGATTAAATGTAGGCTACCGGATTCCACATGGAATCTGTCAAGCCGTAACTTTTGTGGCGGTGTCAGGGAAGCCCAGGAATCCATAGCTTAATCATCACCCCACGTGGGTTTTGTATGTTCTAAAGTTTGAGGATCGTAGCAGCCTACTAGCATTTCTGTGTCGAGGTTTTTGTTTGTTTCTTTTAGCTTTTTAAAAAATGGAGATATAATTCATAACCATAAAATTCACCCTCTTAAAGTATACAATTCAATGGCTTTCCCCAAATTTACAAGGCTTTACAACCATCTCCACTGTCTAATTCCAAAGCATTTTATCTCCTGAAAGGAAACCCTGTATCCATCAGCAATCACTCTTCATTCCCACCTCACCCCAGCCCCAGGCAACCGCCAATCTGCTTTCTGTTGCCTGGTCTGTGCATTTCATATAAATGGCTCACAGAATAAGTGGCCTCTTGTATCTGACTTCTTTCACCTAATAATGGTATCAGGGTTCATCTGTGTTGCGGTATGTAGCAGGACCTCATTCCGTTTCATGGCATGATAGTCCTAGTGTGGAGAGACCACATTTTGTTTATCTAGTCATCAGTTGATGGACATTTGAATTGTTTCTACTTCGGATAGTATGAAAAGACTACTGTGAACATCTGTGTACTAGTCTGAAGTGGGTATATGTTTTCAGTTCTCTTGTGTGTACATCTAGGGGTGGAATTGTTGGGTCATGTGGTAACTACAGTTAACTTTTGGAGGAACTGCCAAACTATTTTCCAGAGTGGCTGTACTATATTACATCCCACCAACAATATATGAGGGTTCCAATTTCTCCACATCCTCACCAGCCCTTCTTGTCCTTTTTCATTTTAGCCATCCCAGTCGGTGTAAAGTGGTACATACATATTGGCATTTCTGTACTGAAGCCATTCGCTGATGGGAAGATAGTACATACCTTCAAAAGCCTTAAATAGCTTCTCCAGTGTCCCTCTGCAGTCAGCCCTTTTTCTGAGTAGAAAAGGGAGAATACATTTCAGTAATTATTACAAGTCTAGCATAGTACAAGTACATAATTCTGTGGAGGTGGTACAGGTATAATATGGTTCCTACCCCCAAGATGTTTAAGTGTTGGTGAGAGGATATAAATGAAATGTTCAGACTTGCAACAGTGACAGGTGAAGTATGAAAGTTCTAGAACAAAGTGCTGAACAGCAGAGAATCAAGCTGCTTAATGTATGGTCAGATAGTGGGACCAGGTAATGGAGGTTGGAATCTTCTGGAGTAGTGGGACTTCACAGGCTGGTGGGATATGTATGGGTGGTCACAGACAGGATGAAGGGCATTTTAGATAGAGAGCAGAGCCCGAGGGCTTCCTAGAGAAGGGAACAAGGAGGCTTCAGAGCGTGCTTAAGTGCCTGAGGGGGCATGGAGGTAAGGGCAAGGGGAGGAGGCAGAGATGACCACTGAGCATCCTTGTAGAGAGTGCTATTCCCATGTTCTTAAACAAAATCTTCCTTTATTTTAACTGGATTAAATGAGGCCTCGGTGATGAGTCATTGCATACCTGTCGATGACACCTACCTAATTTACATATTCCCAGCATATCAGTGCCCTGTGGTGCTCCCAGCGCTGCTGTGAGGAGCCTGAAGTCCAGAGCGGAACTCCAGGTCTAGCCCGGGGACAGGGAGGAGGACAGAGCTTGGGCTCCGGCAGTGGGAGCCCCAGACGCTTTCTTCACTGCACTGAACAGTCCCTGAGATATTTTAGCGGAGGAACATGGCCAGAGCGGAATCGGAGGAGAGGCCAGAGCAGGAGTGAGGAAAGGCTGCCGTGTTCTGTTCCCCAGCTTGCCCCCGAGCCCTGTACCCCTCCACCCTCCTCGGTGCTCCAGAGAGTCGGCACAGTGCTGGCAACACAGTGTTGGACTCTGTAGTTGTGTCTTTTTTTTTTTTTTTTTTTTAAGATTTTATTTATTTTTTTGACAGAGACACAGCGAGAGAGGGAACACAAGCAGGGGGAGAGTTAGAGGGAGAAACAGGCTTCCCGCTGAGCAGGGAGCCCGATGCGGGGCTCGATCCCAGGACCCTGGGATCAGGACCTGAGCCGAAGGCAGACGCTTAGCGACTGAGCCACCCAGGCACCACTGTAGTTGTGTCTTAATCCGTAGTGGAGACCATCAGGCAAGCAGCCGGCTTGCCGGTAGTGGTTCAGGAGACTGTTGCCATTTCTCCTCTACCTTGGAAATAGTTGTATGTGAATAGGGGGCCCCTGGGAGGAGGCCTCGATTGTAATTGTTCCAGAAGAGTCCTGCCACTGTTGATTTTAGTCAACTCCTGGTTGTTTTGATGGAAGCTTTGCCAAAATCCACATACCCTCCACGCTGTGCCATCTAGCTGCTTTCGTTAGCAAGTGAGCTTTTGTTGGTTTCTGCTCATATGTGCGTGGCAGGCAGTCCCCTTTGCCTGCCACACTGCCAGCCTCCTGAGGCCCAACTGCAAAGTCCCTGTGTACCTCCCTGTTTGCCATCCCGTAGTCTCAGACACTCTGAGCTCCATATCCAGCCACCACAGTGCCAGCAGTAGCCAGGGCCACGAAGTTCTTTATTCCCCTGTTGGCCAGACAGAGTGCTGGTGGCTGGTCTTTAGGTGCTTCTCTGAGCGGGACTTACATCTGGTGAGGTGGCGCCACCGTGAATAAAAGTCGGTAGGACATGAAAGATGTGGCAGGCCAGGCCAGCCGTGGATCCCCTCGTGGGGCCAGTGCCGCCCTGCGTGGGGGTCCATTGTTCATGCAGAACTGAGGGAAGCCCCCTCTTGCCCTGCCCCCCACGTGTGCCGTCTTTCTTTCAAATTCTGTGTAGGAAATAAGTTGAAAGCAGTCCCTGTCTTTAAGCAGCGTATGTTCTAAAAATAACCAGGACAGAAGTTCTGTTCTTCATTGGAGGTCTTTCCTCTAATACATTATTTTAACATTTTCATCACTTCCCTGTTTTGGTTTGTTTTCATTTTTATCTCTCTGAGGAAAGAAAGAGATCATTGCAGATCATGGGGTCATAGAGCTGGGAAGGTCACCTGAGCCAGCCCTCTCCTTTTACCAGTGAGGAAACCTCTGCCCAGAAAGGCTGTGACCTGCACAGCTAATTCTGTGATCAAACCAGAGCAAAGGCCACAGATTTTTACTCCCATTTTGGTTTTTGTTTGGTTGGTTTTGCTCTCTTACACCGTGCTGTTTGTTCAGGTACTTAAGAAAGGGGAAGAAAGGGTTAAGATTTAATAACTGCATTCAGATTGAAAAAGTCATGAATGTCTCCTCTTTTGTCAGAAAAGAGATTTTGATTTCACAAAGTACAATAGGATGAAGATTCTTGTCCCGTTTTTAGAATTGTAAGTTTGAAAACCTTCATTTACCTTATCCTCAGAATTTCTAGTAGTAATAAATTCTGTGACTGAAATGCCCGAATGCCATCTCTGTTTGGGATAATGTCAAGATGAAGGGTCAGTAGGAGGTGGCTTTCCAGACCTTTTAGCTAAAGCTATGAGCAGAGTTTGGGAGTGACGACTTTAATAACCCTCTTAAGCCAGTAGGTTGGGAAGTAAGGTCAGCAGCATTAAACTCTCAAAGAGCTGGAAGACTGTAGAATTGTAAGCAGGGGTAACATCCTAAAGGACTTTGCCAAAAACAAAGTCACCCTGTAAATTCTCTGGAGCTTCCAGAAGATGATGTATGAAGGTCCAGTTGGTTCTCTACCTTCCTAGTCTCACTTAATCCCTCTGGGCCCTACTCTAGCCCTGACCTTAGTCACCTTCCCCCTGGACGATTGCACCTGCTCTCGCTTTCCTCCTTCTCCTCTGTCACTGGCTAACCTTCCTCAAATACTCTTTTTATCTGCTGCTGAGTGGCTCCCAAGGGGACCTTCCCCAGTCTGCCATCTGTCAGCTGCTCTGGTCCTCTTTCCTGCTCCCTTCGCGGTCCCCCGTCTGAGCTGCCCACATTCCATAGTAACTGCATAATGCCCATCAGTGCCGTGGGGAGGGGGTAGCCTCAGCGGTCAAGCAGCCCAAGCCCACATCCTGCCCTACCAGCCTTGTGACCTCAGGCACATTAGGTAACTGGACTCTGTTTTCTCATCTCTTAAGTGGGGGCAATAAGGCTTTGTAAGAATTTCATGAACTACTGTAGGTAAAAGTGCAGGGGGCAGCATCTGGCTCATAGTGAGTGCTGTTAGTTGCTGATACCATTTTTTTTTTAAAGGATTCATTTGGTTTTTTGTTTTGTTTTGTTTTGTTTTTTGAGAGACAGAGAGCTTGAGCAGAGAGAGGGGCAGAGGGAGAGGGAGAAGCAGACTCCCGCTGAGCAGGGAGCCCGATGCGGGGCTCAGTCCCAGGACCCTGAGATCATGACCTGAGCCGAAGGCAGACGCCCAACCGACTGAGCCACCCAATCTGGTCTCCGCATTCATAAGGGCACTAGTCCAGAGAATGTCCAGCCCTTGTGTCTTCAGTGTCCTTTGCAGCACCAGCCCAGCACAGTGGTGGCCTCTCTGTCTCAGATGCCTCAAGCCTGCTGCCATCTCAGTGCCCTCCTGCTGCCTGTCCTGTGAGAGCCACCTCCTCCCCCAGGTGGTCCACGCCTGCTCCCTCCATTTGGGTCTCTGCTCACCTCATCACAGTGACCTTTCCAACTGTGCTATTTGCAATAGCGTCCCTCTTCACTTCACATGTGTTTAACTTGTTGGGTTTTTTTCCCATAACATTTATCACCACCTGGCATTTACACCTACTTTCTTTCCACTGGACTCAGCTCTGTGAGCAGATGAACCTTGATTTGTTCACAGCCTTATCCCCAGAACCTCTTTGGCATATATTAGGAGTTCGAATGTGGGTGTTTCTCTATTAAATGAATGGTCATAACTTCTTAGGTTTATATAGGGAGATTTATAGTTTGCTTTCACATACATTCTCTTACTTGCTTCATAACAGCAGTGATAGAAATACTATTAGCTTTACTTTGCAGAAGAGAAACAAGACCGAAGAGCTTTAAAGGTTTCTCCGAGGTCAGACAGGTGAATAGTCCCTGAGGTCCTGTGACCTCCAAGTCCAGTGTGGTTGTCGCATGCCAGGCCCCGTGTCAAGTGTGTTGTTGATGGTGGCGGCGGTGGTGACAAAGGGCAGCGGCCAGCTTGATCTTGGAGGTTTCCACAGGTGTCCCAAGTCTCCGGGTCAGACTGAGAAGGCGCAGAGGGTGCGGCAGCTGCTGGGGTGGCCCCTGCCAAGCGAGTTCACCTTCACAACCTTGTGACTCTCCCAGCAAACTCACAGAGCTGTGTGAGCAGGGCTTCTGGTTCTTACCTGCATTAGCATTTCTTTGATATTGATAAGGCTTTCCCCTACATTGATAGTTCTGGCTTTGTGTCCACTTTTGTACACACCCTTCATTTTTAACTATTTTTTTTTCCTGCAAATACAGTTTTGTACAATGTTATCTTTATGGGAAGGAGGTAAGCTGAGATGGGGACCAGGCTGATAGAGTATCAACTGAGTATCTGCTGAGTTCTGCCACTCTGGAACTGACCAGAAATACAAACCTAGTTTTTAAGGTGGGGGGGATAAAAACAAAACAGAAACCCTTATGTGCCTCATCATTATTCAGTCTTTGTCTACTTGGTTTGCCTCCTCCCCCCAACCCAGTGATTTTGGTCCCTGGAACTACCTTGTTTGTGTTTTGAAGTGAATTAACTTTTCAGCTTTTTAGATTATACATTCTAGCGTCAGAGGTATAGACACTAATTGGGGAAGGGGCTATGCACGTACAGTAGGTGACACATGGTTTCACATGAGGCCGGGGAGGACGATTGCTGCTGACACTGGATAAGGGATCGAGGGGTACGTGTCGTGTGAAATACCGGACTGGCTATTGCAGGACACGCACGGGCGTAGTATAATTATAGACCAGAGGCTGACGGACTTTTCTGCAAAGGACCAGACAGTAAATATTTTAGGCGTGTCAGCCATATAGTCCCTGTCACAACAGCTTGGCTCTGCCATCGGAGCTCAAAAGCAGGAGCCGTAGACTAGAGGGTAAGTGACGAAAGGGCATGGCTTGCTTTGGTCTGAAGGTCTTACTTGGCCAGCCCCTCACGGACGGTAAGTTCTACAGATTTTATAGGGTGGCCTTGGAAGATTTTACTGAGGATTTATGACACGAGTGAGGCCTAGTAGAATGGCTAAGATTTGACAAGTGGAGCAACTGAATAAAAGGACGAAGCAGGTGATGCAGGGAGTGCTTAAGAGACACTGAGCAAAGCAGCCTGGCTAGTAATTAGACACCTGGTTCCGCATCGACTAGATTCCTACTATGGGGCATTTCTGAACATAAAGGACTAAGGCAGCCCTGCCCTTAAGCTTGTATCCAGTACGCTGGGCATACTCATCACACCACGGTTGGAGGATTATGGCAGGGGACCTTGAGTAATGCTCTGCTTCTAATTTGCTTCCTGCCCCGGCAGAAAGGTAATTTATTACCTGTCTTTCTCTAGAGTTAAATTGCCTAGGTTTACTTCCCAGCTTCATCACTGTGAGCCTCACCCTCTGCATCTGTAAAACAGGGATATTATTATATTATTATGAGGGTAATCCATGTAAAGTGCTGAGTACAGTAATACTCATAATAGTAAAAGCTCAGTAAATAGTAGCTGATCTGTCTATAACCTCTAAATTAGATTGGAAATATTAGTATTGCTTTGTTGGAATTATTTTAGATTCCTCAAGTGAGTATATGTTCAGGATAGCTTGACTGTGTCACTTTGTGTAAATAGGTTAAACTGATGAGCTTTATAGAAAGCTGTAGATAGTAGAAATATTTGCTTGCCTCAGCCTTGTCTCTGGGGAGTAAGAACATATCCACTCGAGTTGATAGCCATAGTTCACCCTGCCTATGTGCTTAAAAATCCCAAGGTCAAAATTCTAGATTAAAATGATTATAGGTTAATAGTGCCCCAGGTGCAAAAGCGTATCCTCTCTGGAAGAAAAATAGATTTTAAACTCAGGCCTCAAAGGCTTCCCACAGATGAATTCCAAGGAACATGAGTTAACAGCAATAATAACAAAACCCCTGATAACAACATCATGTGTGAGACTCAGTAGGAGTAAGAAACAATAAACGAAAGAATCAGTTTGCAGCAAAGGCTTTAGGTATTAGATTTAGCTGATACAGACTATACAATAAACATTTTTGTAATATATAATATAATTTTCAGAAGAACTAAAGCAAGTGTAGAAACAAGTATAGGAACAAGGGACTTTTACAACTGACCAGATTTTTTTTTTTTTTTTTTTTTAGAATCAGTAGTAGTAGTAGGGCCTGGGCATTTGGTGGCTCCTATCTTGCTTCTGACAGATGGACACACACACAAACACAGTGTTAAGTGTGTTTCTGTTTTTTAACTTATTCCATTCAACAAATATTTTCTGTAGCAACCACTATATTAGGCCCTGGTAGAGAAGACTACAAATAGGATTAAGAGATGGTGCTTGTGTTGAAGGAGCTTGTAGTCTACTCTTGCCTTTGTTTTCCAAAGATGATCAGTCTTTGGAAGACTGACGACAAAAGACAATGGAGAGGGCGCCTGGGTGGCTCAGTTGGTTAAGCGACTGCCTTCAGCTCAGGTCATGATCCTGGAGTCCTGGGATCGAGTCCCGCATCGGGCTCCCTGCTCGGCGGGGAGTCTGCTTCTCCCTCTGACCCTCCTCCCTCTCATGCTCTCTGTCTCTCATTCTCTCTGTCTCAAATAAATAAAAATAAAATCTTTAAAAAAAAAAAAAAGACAATGGAGACTACAGGCTTACTGGCCTAACAAGATTTTCTGGCTGCCATTTTACTGCCCATGTGTAGCCAGGTCTGTCCTCCAACACACCAGTCAGCTCAGTTCACCTATACCAACAATTACTTACTACATCTTGAGTGCAGAAGTGCCCACCGTTTTGGAGTTATTCTTTCATTGGCGTAGTCCTTTGATACCAGAGATTTCTGTAGGTTCTGGTATTTGTAAGCCCTCTTCTACCTGTAACTGCTAACTCACTGTCCAAAGAATTCATCTATAAAAAGATAATACTTTAATAGGAAAACTGCACATTTGCCCACAGGCCTTGTGGGAGGGAGTGACATTTGCCTCGGTGGGTCCTTGAGGAAGGCTTCAAAGAAGAGGTGCCATTTGAACTGGAGTTTGACAGATGAATGGGATATTGATAGTTGGGTAAGGAGTTGGGGGTCACAGAGAACATTCTAGACTGAAAGAAGAACATGAGAAAAGATACAGAGGCTTGAAAGTATTAGGACTGTTTCTGCAGAGGTGAGAAATGTGGCTGGAAATCTAGGAAAATGGGACTCTTGCTTCCCATTGTGGAATTCCTCTATTTGCCCCCTCTACTCTCATTTCACCCTGTTACTGTGCTTTGCTTTTTCTTCACTTGGGATGACCCCTGTTGAGATACTTGGAGGGGAGTAACTTTCCTGTGCATATTAATGGGATTATCAGCAATAAAATAGTTATATAACTATGAACGAAATTTTCATATGCATTACTAAATAATATCTTGGAATGGGTGGTTGGGGAATGTTTTTCAGGTTGAAAATATCCTCTTGCATGACCGAGGCCACTACGTCCTGTGTGACTTTGGAAGCGCCACCAACAAATTTCAGAATCCACAAACTGAGGGAGTCAATGCAGTAGAAGATGAGATTAAGAAGTAAGCATTTCCTCCTTTCTTGGAGTTTTGTCCATGACCAGATCAGCAACCGTACTTTCAGCTTATGGATGAGAAGGTCAGGGTGGGAAGACCATGGTGCTAGTCGTGGTGCCTCTTGTCACAGAACATCATGTTGGCAGTTGGGTTGTTTGATTTCAAGTGGAGAATGTGGAAGGGGTCCACAAGCATTGATCAGTAGAGTAAAATGAAGGAATCATATAGCATTTTATCAATGGTCCAGTGATCACTGTACATAGATATTTTGACTTACGTCACATAGCTCTTAAAAAGCTGAAGGGTGCACAGACTGTAGAGGGACGGTGATGTTTTTAAGTGTAATCACAGCATCTGTGACATTATCAGTCAGCTGGATGTGCTTTTCACTGAACCCTACATTGCTGTGCACTCCTTCTTGCTCATAAGGAGCTCACCAGTCTAGCGGAATTAATGGTAAGTAGGGCTATGAAGTCTCTACAGATACTGACTTGCTGACTTCGATGAGAAAAAGCCTCTTTAGATTTCTGGCTCCAGTAAGAACCTGACCCATTTTTCCCCTCTTGTCCAGAGTGCTGGATTTTTCACAGGCAACAACACTCACTGATACTACTAATAAACCAGCAGTCTGGTATGCACACCTCTATCCTGATCCTCAGTCTCCTTTCCTGCATCACCCCTGGCAGCCAAGCTGGGGCGGAAAGACTTCTGGTCCACGGTGCTGGTGGACAGCTAAACCATAGTGCCCTCTGGGCTTTAGAGGCTTGAGCAGCATAGGTCACATGCTTGGTAACATCAAGACACTCACTTTGAAGCTGAGCTTATACCATCTTTCCTTGAGCCAGAGATAAGAGGAAGACTGTTGCTTCATCCCTCTTCCAGCAGCAGAGACCAGCCAGCCACCTCCCACCCCAGCCAGGGCCCACTTTCTGCCCTCCTCCAGGGTCTCAGCCAGTATTACATATCTGAGTTGAGCCACATTTAAGGGAATTACTGTTTTTAAGAACAAATCAGAAAATATAAATATACTATCAGACAACGAGGATTTGCAGAAGATTTTATCATTGGAGGACCCAAGAAAAGTTGCTTTTGGTGTTGATTGAAGTGCCTCAGTGTCTGGGTCTCCACGTGCCCTCAGATGGAAGGACTGCTTCTAGAGGGCCGTGGGTGTGTACCAAGGATAGCTTTCCATTTTATCTGCACTAATATTTCATACTCTCTTCTGCGGATTGCTCCCAGGGAACTAGACTTTTTAAATTTAATATATATGTATTTAAAAAGTATTTCTGCTACCCCTGGTTTTTAATTATAGCTTTGACATATTTAACAAAAAACAAATCTCTTGATTGTAGATACACAACGCTGTCCTATCGAGCACCAGAAATGGTCAACCTGTACAGTGGCAAAATCATCACTACGAAGGCAGACATTTGGGTAGGTGTCAACTAAGCTATCCGCACCTCAGGTACCAGCAGTCTTGACCGTAAATTCCCAAGTTTAATGCAGAAAGTGCCATAGTGAGTGTGGCCACTGTACCATGTCACTGTCTACCTAACCCTCAGGGTTATTCTTCACTCCACGTGACCAGCCACTGCCTCGTGAAGCATGTCAAAGGAAATGACTTTAGAGTTCTGTGAAAATTATTCAGGTGACCTGCCCATTATTTAGGTGGTTTTCATACATGCATTACGAGTTCTTAAGAATAAAATAGCTGAAATGCTTGTTCCTTATTGGAGCACAATTTGGTAATGATGGTAGAAATAATGTATGTCAGCAGCTAAATAGTGGTGTTGAGTTCTAAATTCAAGTTTCTAATAGGTTAATAGTACAGAGTTTTTATATCTGCTCATAAATGTGGATGATGCCAATATCTCTCAGACCCATTGGCAGTTATGGTAAATAAACCACTCGTAGCAATCTGCTTTATTTTTTTAGGCTCTTGGATGTTTGTTGTATAAATTATGCTACTTCACCTTGCCATTTGGAGAGAGTCAGGTGGCAATTTGTGATGGAAACTTCACAATTCCTGATAACTCTCGATATTCCCAAGACATGCACTGCCTAATTAGTAAGTATTTCAAGTTTCTAGTTTCATATTTTTATCTCTAATCTCCAGGAATGAATTGGGGGACAGAGGGACTGGATCACAGGAGTGATGGGTTGGATGCAAAGATAAGTCAACTGGTAATGGTTGGTCACTCAAAGATGAATAACGGTGTCTAGTTAGAGTCGTAGGCCTTTTTGCTAGAAATCTAAGCTCTTTTGCACTTGAGCAGAAATCCTAACTGTGCTTTGAACAGTACAGTACTGCTCTGTTCTGTTGCAAGCAGCATGAAAGAGTCCAGCTGACTCCTATCAAGTGATAAAAAATTCATCTTTGCAAAACTGGAAGCAACTCAAATTGAAATGATTGCCATGCGTTGGCTGGAGTGAATACATAATTAAGACTGTATAACTCTGTGGAACAAGGTTTTTTCTCTCTTTAGGTTAATCACTGGATTTTGATAACAAGCATTTAAACTCAGTGCTTGGTTTAAAATGTTTTTTAAGATTCCCCACTCTTTTGCAGCATCCTAGCAAGCATATGTGTCAGTTCATTAACCAGATGGTAGAACCAATAATCTTTGCACAAGCCCTTGTACCAAAATGTGAAACAGAGATATTTTATCATCTTTTCACATTGGTCAAGGGATTTAGCATCTAAATTTTAACCATTATGGGTTATAAGTCCTGGGATAGTTTTTTGGGTCCTGGTTGGGGTTGCATTGAAAAAAACAGAAGCAGATATGGGTGGAGCATCTGACATTTGTTGAGGGCCTACTTGTACCTTATTTAATTCTTAAAATCTTATATAGTAAATATAATTATCCCCATGATACAAATGAGGAAGCTGAAGCTGAGAAAATATACGTAACTTACCCAAGGTAACATCGTTATAGCTTTTAGATTCCACTGGGCCAATTTTATCAATCCACTTCTTCTGTTTATGAGCCAAAAAGGGGGGGTGGTGGTATTAAAAGAAATGGGAGTATGGCCTTTAATGGTTGCTGGATTGTTTTCAGAGGTAAAGCATTAGAGTAGTCCCTCCTTATCCGTGGGTTTGCTTTCTGCGGTTTTAGTTACCCACAGTTGACCGCAGTGGGAAGCAGACAATCCTACTTCTGATGTATAGTCAGAAGGTCAATAGTAGCCTAACGTTATGTCACCATGCCTGTGTCATTCCCTCACAACATCTCATCACATAGGCATTTTATGCTTTCGCATCATCACAAAAAGGGTGAGGACAGTATAATGAGATGTTTTGAGAGAGAGAGACCACATTCACATAACTCTTATTGTAGCATATTGTTATAATTGCTCCGTTTTATTATTATTGTTAGTTAATCTCATACCATACCTAATTTATAAATTGAGCTTTATCATAGGTATGTATGTATAGGAGAAAACAGTATATATCGGATTCAGTACTATCTGCGGTTTCAGGCATCTACTGGGGGTCTTTGAACGTGTCCCCCCTGGATATGGAGGACTACTGTATATCTGTTCTAGAACTGCAGCTATGTAAGTGAGATTGGAAGGATATATAGGAAATGGCCAGATCTGGTGCTAGAATGGTAGGATTTTTTGGTAATACATTTTCTTTTTAACATTTGTACAGCAAATTCATATTAGGAAGAACAACTCTTTATGAATTTCTGTGACACTGACATCTTTCCCAAACTCTGACCTATTTCTTTACAAACTACTTGAAGATCCCACAGTCACCCTAGAGTCACAGATCTAAAATTAAATTTATTGTCCTTGCCCAATTATTCCCAATACACAGTTCCCCTCTTTTTTCGGTTTCTATTAGTGGTGTCACCATTCACGCCAGGATAATGGAAATTTAAGGTTTTCTTTGGATCTGGCTCGCAAGAGAAAGTAGAGTCAGGCATTTTCTAAGCAGTGCTCTTTCTTTGGAGTCTCTCCTGTCTCCATCACATTCTCTTGTTCTCATCACTGTCACCATAGTATATACACATTCAGCTGGTGCGTGCCTGTAGGGGTGGAGTGGCCACCAGCCTCTCCTCCTTCAGTCAGCCCAGCCCAGCCCCGCCTCACCGTGAGATCGGTCTTACACAGCGCCACCCTGTCAGGTCCCTGTGGTAATCTTCCTGGTTTGCCCGTGGTCCCACAGTAGGGCCCAGCTTCTTAGCATGGCATTTAAGACCCTTCATACTCTGGTTCCACCTCACCCGCCCAGCCTTATTTCCCTGTGTTCTCCGACAAGGAAACCTCTGCTCTGTCCTTGTGGCACCTGCATTTCCTCACAACAGGGCCTTCCCTTGCCTTTCGCCCAAGTGCATTTTTGCCCAGACTATTCCGCCACCAAGAATATCTTTTTCTCCTCTTTCCCCTGACTGACTAAATTCTTTCTTGCCTTCAAGGACCAACCCAAACCCTGCTTCTTTTTTTTTTGTTAATTAATTTATTTGAGCTGGGCAGGGAGGGGGAGGTGGGAAGGCAGAGGGAGAAGGAGAGAGAATCTCAAGCAGAGCCCCTGCTGAGCAAGGAGTCTGATGCAGGGCTCGATCTTGCAGCCCTGAAATCATGACCTGAGGGGAAATCAAGAGTCGGAGGCTCAACCAACTGAGCCACTCAGGCGCCCCAAACCTTCTGCAAGGCCTTCACAAGACTGTAGCCTCATCAGTCTTTCCTACACTTAGTGTTCAGACCATTCATTTGGTTCCTTAAACAGTAAGGCCTTGCGTTGTTGTTTGTATGTATGCATGTGTATGTTTGTGTGTCTTCACAAAGATGTTTTTCCTGGGGATTTTTCCAGCTTTGGAAACGGCAGAAGTGTCAAGAATCTGGAAATAAATAAGTGTTCTATAGATTATGTGAAAGTAAAGATGTATTTATCATTTTGTAATTTCTTTTAGAATGGAAACCAGCTAATATCTCCAACAAAGGAATAATAAGTCAGTTCTTAAAATTTGAGTTTTGAGGGGTGTTTGGCTGGCTCAGTCGGTGTATATGTGCCTATTGATCCTCAGGGTCATGAGTTCTAGCCCCATGTTGGGTGTAGAGATTAATAAAGAAAAAAAAAAAAGAAAGAAAGTGGAGAAAAAAAAAAAGGTTTTGATTATAAGTCTCAAGGATAATCATTTGTTTAGCAAGATAAGGAAGCCAGAAGCCTGTAACTTCCTAGGTACCAGAATATAAAGGTGGTAACTTTAATAATGAGAGATTGCTTGAGTCCCTGTTGTACAAGCCACAGAATGTGAACTTCAGATATCTTTGTTACAGTTCAGAAACTTTGTTACTTTCTTGTGCATATTAAAAAATTTTAGGGAAGTTAGAGCTTCCATTTCTGAGAGGGGAGGAAAAGAGCTAATTACACTGTTTGAATTTTATGAGAAATAAAAATGAAAAAAAAAAAAACCACATTTGGTAACAGAAATTATGTTTCCTAGCTAATGTAATAAGTATTAGGGTATTATTAAATATGTTCACATATGTTTGTCTTAGGGTATATGTTGGAACCAGACCCTGATAAAAGGCCGGATATTTACCAGGTGTCCTACTTCTCATTTAAACTACTCAAGAAAGAATGCCCAATTCCTAATGTACAGGTATGTGAAAGGTGCTTTTTAGGGGAAGTAAACATTATCAAATTGTCATTTAAAATTCCTGGGGCGTGAACCAGCTGTTTAATGAATATAGATGTCCCTTGTTTTGTGTGGTAGGGGGCATTCAAGCAAAGCTAACTGTGAAGCAATTACTATAAAGAGAATCCAATTTTCCCATAGAATTTAATTATTAAACTAAGGCAATTACACCCCTCCCCCCCCAAAAAAAATCCCTAGGGATTGAGTTGAGCACTTTGGGTGAAGATTGACCAACCTACTATCTTGTTAACTTCCACAGTTCACTAAGAGCTATGAGCCTGTTGTATTTACCTAGCGGTGGTAAGGCAGGCTGCCTTCCTGAGGCAGGTCTCTGAATTTGTCCCCATACCTACTGGAACATAAGCCCCTTGTCCCTTTTCTCCTTTATTGCAGCAGAGCTTTCTTGATTCTGCTTCTACTCTCCGCCATCTATAACTCACACTCCTTTTCCGCTACCCTCCTTACACACATCAGGCCATAGGAATGTTTTCTACATTTAGTAATCCTAAGCTCTGCACTCAACAGTTTTCAAACTTCAGACCTTTTTACAGTCTTAGCATATTTTTCATGTGTGATCCAGCTCCCTTGAATATTTTACTAATGGATGCCATAATAAATAAGTTCCAATCTGAAATTGTCTTCCAGTTTTCCCAATAGTGAACTTTGATGTCACTGTTGGAGCTTGAGGGTATTGATAAATAACACTCCTCTTTCACTCCTATATTTGGAATCAGATGTGGGAATCATTCAGATGGAACTCAGAATATTGGCTGTATTACTAATAAGGTTGAATCAGAGAATGTAGCTTGACCAGTCAGGCTCCCTAACATTAGATCCACATGACTGAGCAGGGAGCACCTGATTCTGTAGAGACAGGCTCTCCCTTAAAGGAGAGGTCAGCCAGGCGAGCTCACTTTTTTCTCCCAGTCCTGTCAGTCAAGTAAGTTACGCTTTCTCCCTTGGGAGAGGAATGCTTGGAGAGAGGAAGAGAAGCAAGGAGAGATATCCTAGCAAAAATTCTCCCCACCTGGAAACATGAAGGAAATGGGAGGTCCCTCCTAAAAGCCTAAATATTTACTGTTACTAGTAAAACTATTACTAGTATTCCATTTGTCAGCTTTCCAGATTAAAATGAGGAATCTTGTACAGGAACCTAGCATGACCATGTTTTTCTTTTGCTGCCCCACTTTCCCATTCATAAAGTTAAGTAACCTGAAATATAATTGGAAGCATTCAGATTGGTAACTAGTTTTTAGAAAGTCAGGCTCATAAGTCTCAAGCCGTTTGGTACTCACTCAGCAGTGCTAAGCAGTTGTCTTGTGGTTGGGGACGGGAGTGCTCCCTCCGGAGCCGGAGCTGGTGTCAGGTGGCCCGTGCAGAATCCAGGTGGGAGGAGTTCTACTGGCCTCATGGGTCTAGGGGTGCCTCATACACTGGAGAGGCCCCGGCGCCGCAACCAAATGGTTCGTGGCTATGGTTTTCTCCCAGTGTTCAAGATAGAAGACAGAATGAATCCCGGCTGGGCATGCTGCTAGTCAGTGCTGACTTCTGTAAGGTTTAGCTGATAGTTTAAATAGTAATACAGGTTACAGACATCTCTCCCATTCCATTCTTAACACCACCTCTAAGCTGTGTGGTAGGAAGTGAAGGGTCCAGAAGGTTGGGAGCCTCGGGGGAGGAGCGCATGGGATGCAGCCTGCTCTGTCCTCTTCTCTGGTATGCTACCTTCCTGAGGGGGGCCGAGACTGGTGGGTCTACCTTTGGTTGACTTCCCTTCCCTCTAGTAGACATCTGGGCCTGGAAGCCACACCGGGAGATCCCAACACGTATTTCTATCAGCCCAGTCATGCTGGTATTACTTTTACAAAGCAATCTGCAATGTCCTTTTTTGGTTTCCTTTCAATTCTGTAGAACTCTCCCATTCCTGCAAAGCTTCCTGAGCCAGTGAAAGCCAGTGAGGCAGCTGCAAAAAAGACCCAGCCAAAGGCCAGGTAAGAACTGCCCGAGTGTGCGCAGGTCCCGCGCCAGCGGCCGTAGTGGTAGGAGAAGGTCCCTGGTGGTTGTTAGGTTCCCGTGGCCAGAGGCTGCACAGAGCAGGAGAGCAAGCTCTGTCTCTTCCAGGGAGTGCAGGGAGGAATATAATGAAACACAGCAATCTACATCTGAAAGAGAATGAAGAGCTCCACAGCTGTTTCTTTTGCTTGGGGAGAAGCGCAGGGGCATTCAGAGAAGAGGCAACAGACAACTTTAAATATTGCTAAAAAGAATGTCCTAAACAGGTGTCCTGGTCTTCCTGTAGCCTGGTTCACCACCCTAGTCCTTCACCTCCCATTCCTTCTCACTGTCTGTGACCCTGACCACCTCAGGAGAGTGCCAGTCAAGGCACAGACTCCGTGAACAGCAAAAGAGCTTGTGGATCTTAGCTAATCACATTCCATGGAACATGGGGTCTTCCCCGAAGCAGATGCCAAGAGAGGATTGAAGAAGCTAGAATTTTATTTGACTGTGAGAGAAAATAGGGAGACAGCCAGGGAAGGTTGGAAGAACCATCAGAAGGTGATGTAAGTCTAACCCAGAGTGAGGAAGGAAGAGTGAGTGGAAGTGACTAGAAACTGCCACACAGTTGAAGGAAGAAGGTTCACCAAAGGTGTCAGGGAATCCTCAAGCCGAAGTCAGCTACCAGAGCAGCTCCCGTGTCCCGGGAACAGGCCGACTTTAATCCCCCTGTGGCGGGGGTAAAAGGCTGAGAGCAGCCTGTGGGAAGCATGGCCTCAGAAGGAGCATGGCAGTGGATTTCAGGAGCACAGCCCCTGGGGCACGTGGTGTTTGCACCCCTCGCCAGCCGCAGGTCTGTGGGGCACAGCCTCATGGCTGCCGTGCTTCCAAGTGGCAGATTCTGAGGGTGGTCGAAGAGATGTTTATACCTCCTTTTTCTCCCATGTTCCCATGGCGAGGAAACGTTAGCCGCCAGCTATCAACAAAGTACCCTAGATAGGGTTATGTGAATTTTTTTTTTTTTTAAGATTTTATTTATTCATTTGACACAGAGAGAGACACAGCGAGAGCAGGAGCGCAAGCAGGGGCAGTGGGAGAGGGAGAAGCAGGCTTCCCGCGGAGC